GTATAGATGTGTGTGGTGTGTGTGGTATGTATAGATGTGTGTGGTGTGTATAGATGTGTGTAGGGTGTGTATAGATAGATGTGTGTGGTGTGTGTGGTATGTATAGATGTGTGTGGTGTGTAGGGTGTGTATAGATAGATGTGTGTGGTGTGTAGGGTGTGTATAGATGTGTGTGGTGTGTAGGGTGTGTACAGATAGATGTGTGTGGTGTGTGTAGATATATGTGGTGTTTGTGGTGTATAGGGTGTGTATAGATGTGTGTGGTGTGTAGGGTGTGTATAGATGTGTATAGGGTGTGTATAGATGTGTGTGGTGTGTGTGGTATGTATAGATGTGTGTGTGGTGTGTATAGATGTGTGTGGTGTGTGTGGTGTGTATAGATGTGTGTGGTGTGTATAGATGTGTGTAGGGTGTGTATAGATGTGTGTGGTGTGTATAGATGTGTGTAGGGTGTGTATAGATGTGTGTGGTGTGTGTGGTATGTATAGATGTGTGTGCACATGAGGTGCTAAAGCAGGACACACAGAACCATAATAATAATGACCCCCATGAAAGCAGCCAGGGTCAGTCGGGGTGTCCCCCGTCCCCATGGCAGCATATATCCCAAACCCGTGAGAGCCATTCGCTCAAGTAGGGGAGCGCTGTGGACAAAGGTGTGGTCAGTGTTGGTGTGAGGTGGGGGAGGGGCTGAGGGGGCGGCTGGGAGTGCAGAGGTGGCAGCCTGAGCTCCCAGGCCTCATCCAGTTCAGACATTGTGCAGAGGGACCTGAGCCTGGTGGGCCATTTCAACACCAGTTCTGCAACCTGAAATGTGGCTCTGGAGTGACCTGCTTCCTGCTGGCAGCACCGTGAGGCAGGGAGGAGACCCTGGGAGCTCAGGGACAGCTGGACCCCACCCAGGGTGGGACTGTCTGAGAACAAAGGTGTCACCTGCACAAGTCCCCTCCAGAAGCTGGGGCAGCACCACCACCCCAGGAGGAGGATCCTACCAGGATGAGGGAGGCTCGGGAGGCAGGGTGCCCAGGGCCCTGTAGGGCTCCAGGGTCAGGGAGGCTCACAGTGGGCAGCTGGGGTGCCCAGAGGGTCTGCAGCCATGACCAGTAAGGCTCATGGACCATGGGAGAGAGCAAAGGCCACACAGAGGAAGCCAGGGGCCTGGGAAGGTCCTGAGAGGCCTGGCAACTTCTGGGCCAGAAGCTGGGATCAGGCCACACAGGACAGGGGGCACCCACTGTCCAAGGCCACGGGTCTGAGGTGGTTCTAGGGTTCAGTAGGCCCTAAGCCAAGGTGGTCAGGGCCAGACCCATAATCCCCACTTGCCCACAGTCCCCTCCAGGATCAAGGGTGACGCCCCTGAGGTGCTGTGGAGGGCTGAGACCGCCTGCTCACAGGGCTGGGGCACCTCAGGGAGCAAGTGAGCCTAGGCCCCGGGAGCGGAGGACGCAGTACCTGGCCCTCAGCACCTCCTGCACCTTCTGCTCCAGCTCTATCCTCCGCTGCCGCTCTCGGTCCAGCTCCTGCCGCAGCATCTCTGCGTTGGTTTCTTCACGCAGCTTCCGGAGCTCCTCCTCTGTGGGGAGAGAGCAGCAGGCCAACCATCACTCACAGCTACTCTGTCCCTCCGACTCCCAGACAGGACAGGGGCACCCACCTCGGGACGGCAGAGTTGTTTTTGTTCTGGAACAGACCTGAGCTCCTGGGCCTTCTCAGACATGGGAGGCCCCAGGCAGAGGGGTGCGCTGAGCCCTCCAGCACCTGCCAGGCGGCTGCAGCCTCCCACCCTCTTCCTGGACACACTTAGGAAGACACCATCATTGGGCTCCTCCCACAGAGGGTCCCTCGCTGTGCTCGCCTGAGGATGGCGCAGGATGGGCACAGCGGGCTTTCACGACTGCCACACCTGGGGATAGCACGCGGCCGGCCCTCCAATGCCAATGCAGGCGCCGGGCAGGGCAGGGCAGTGGGCACAGCCAGCTCGAGTCACCTTGGGCTCCTGGACATCTCTCTGAGAAGGGGGATCTCAGTGGAGACCCGATGATATGCAGGAGCAAGGCTGTAGGCAGGCAGCCTCCAGAAGCCAGAACAGAGGCCCACCTCCACCACAAGCAGAGGCAGAGGTGCTGTCCCCTCCCCCAGCAGGGACAGCTCAGCAAGGTCCCCAGCACATCCAGCAACCAGGGCAGATGGGCTGAGCCGAGGACACTACAGGGTCAGCTGCGTCCCTGACAAGACAGGACACCAAGGCACACGAGGGTCACAGTGGGAACCCAGCAAGTGCACAATAGCAGGGCCCAGCCACATGAGGACATCTGTGCCTCCCCAGACATACCAGGCACATGGGGACGTATACGCCTCCCCAGACATACCAGGCACATGAGGACGTATACGCCTCCCCAGACATACCAGGCACATGAGGACATCTGTGCCTCCCCAGACATACCAGGCACTCGAGCCTGACTGTGGATGTCCTCTGCACACCCAGCACCTACCAGGAGGTCCAGAGTAGAGGCGGCAGGGGACTCAGCATTCAGGGTGCTAAGTCCACAAACCCAACCCCACAGGGACCTCCACCCAGCCCTCATGAACCCCAGTGTGACACAGGCCCCACCCCCACCTGCCACTGCTTTGAGCTCCACTCATGAATACTTTCATTGGGGAATTAGTGTTGGGGACACTACACCACCCAGAAAGGACATCTGGAAGGGTCCCAAGGGCAGTACTAAGGGTGTGAACCCACTGGGTCAGGCCAGACGCTGACCCCTGCCTGGCCTTGGGCTCCTCAGTAGGCAGATCCACGTCCCCTGAGAGGGGCCACACGCCTTCTGGCCACCAGGACACTGGCCTCTGTGAGGGGCAGGGATTTTTAGCCCACCAGACTGATGTGGCTCTCCCAATGCCCTCCAGCACAGGACCAGTCCTCAGCCCCAGCTCCTCCCTCGGAGGCCTAGCACACAACACGGGCTCACTGGATGGGCAGATGGATAGACCCAGTGCCCCGTCAGCCTCCAGAGACCAGCTGGAGAGCAGTTCTCCCCCAAGACGAGCATCAATCCCACATGTGGAGTCAGCTGGGGCAGAAAGTGCCACAGAGCGCTCAGCTCATCCGGTGTCCTTGTGCTGGGACAGCGACTCTATCACATGGAACGCAGAGCCAAGACACCTCACCCTGTCAGGGTCTTGGTCCCAGAAAGGGCCCCTGGATGGAAGCTGGAGGGTTCTAACCTCTCAGCTCTCAACTCGCTCTAGTCACACATGTCGGGTGAGGACATCAGCCCTCCCAGCACGGGCAACAGGAAACCAAACTTTCCTTGATGGGGCCTCCCCTGAACGCCCCTTCCTGGCATCACCAACCCCCGTGAAAGGTCCAAACAGCCAGACTCCTCACAGCACAGCATCAGCCAATGCCTGGACCAAGGTAGCCATTCCCAGCCCCGGGGACAGATGTGGACATGTGGGGACATGCAGACCCCCCACAAGAGCCTGTCTATCTGCTGGGGGGAAAGACTAAGCCCCGAGACCTCAGACCCAGGCCTTGGAGCTCAAAGGGGCCTCAGGCGGCTGCCCCCAGCCTGTACCCCCAGATGGGGCCCGGCAGCCCTCCCCACTCCAGCCTAGGCACACCGTGCCTCCCTGCCCCCCACCCTGCTCATGTGGCTCCCCTGACCGCTGGGCAGATCAGCCTGCCCCAGTTTCCCACAGAGCTGGGAGGTGCTTCCACCTTCTCCCGGTGCCTCCCTTCCTGGTGCTGAAAGACAGCTAAGTCAATCAAACGCCAGGATTTCTGATGAGCACCTCCTGTAGGTTCCCCCCGCCCCCCCCCCCAGGAAATGGCTCCCTGCAGGGCCAAGTGTTGTCCCTGAGAATGAAATAGGGATTTCACACCCAAGGACTGGACACTAAGGGCCTGCCTCCTGCCCAGCAGTGACACATTTAGGTCAACTACAGCCCTGTCCCTCCACAGGACAAAGGTGGCACAAATCTCCAGCATGGAGTTCTCATTCTCCTCCCTGAGTAAGAAAAGAAACAGGGGGGGCTGTTTTCTTGCCAAGTGGAAAGTGTTGCGCCGGTCACTCCAAAGATGGACTTCTCTCATCCAGCCTCCTGCCCTCTAGTCTCTGTGGAGACTACCTACCCCTGACCTCAGAGCCTGGTCAGCAGTCCCCAGGGCCCGGGCTCCCTTGGGCCTCGGAGGTGCTCAGACATCAAGGGTGCTGGCCTGGCCCGGCCCAGCCCACCTCACCCCGCAGAGGGCTACCTTCTGTCCATCACGGGCAGAGCAGTCTCCACAAGGTGGGGTGGGGATCGTGCCACACACAAGGTGGGCAGAGGAGCCCCTAATAGCCACTGCGTTAGTTCTCTGTGGCTGCTGCCAAAAATGACCACAAACCCAGTGGCTGACAACGCACGGCTCTGTCCTCTTCCAGGTCTGGAGGGCAGAAGCCCACAGTGGGTCTCCCAAGCTAAGGTCAAGGTGTTGGCCGGGCTGGCTGCTTCCAGAACTGCAGGGAGGACCCTTCCAGGGCCATTTTTAGCCCTGCAGCGGGGGGGGTGTGTGTGTGCCTGTTTTCCCTGGTCCTGCCCCAGCAGTGAAAGTATCAATCTCTCCTCTGACCTATCTTCCATCTCCTCACAAAGACCCTCTTGGTCACTCTGAGCTCACCTGGGCCATCTAGGACCGTCTCCCACCCAGGTCTGCAACTTACTCAGACTTGTGGAGTCCCTGGGGCCACGTGAGGTTACAGTCCCAGGATCCAGGGAGGAGGAACACACTCCTGGGGGCTGTGCCGCTGTCCCCCTCCTTTCCCTGAAACAACACTCCTGGAGGGAGGAATGGTCCTCCTCTTCCTCCTCCCACCTGGCTGGATGCACTGTCCAGCCCAGCAGGACACAGGACACTAGTCAGGGAGGAGCCTCCCTCAAGGGGTGGAAGGGTCCTCTAGGAGTGCAGAGTCTCAGCTGGTCCCTTCCCCTCGTAGCTCCTACCACCTCCAGCCGGATTCCCTAGTGCCCCTCAAGGTGGCTCTGACCACAAAAGCTCACATGACCTTCTCCAAACCCTTGCAGTGAAATACAAGGAGGGGATGTTCCAGAGTTGCCTATTTTTTTTTTTTTTTTGCAGTTTTTTGCCGGGGCTGGGTTTGAACCCGCCACCTCTGGCATATGGGGCCAGTGCCCTACTCCTTTGAGCCACAGGCGCTGCCCCAGAGTCACCTATTAGTGTCACAAGCCTGGACCTGCCACAGTGCATCCTAATGGCATACCTACACGGGCTGCCAGGATCCAGCACCACTTGTGGACAGACACAGGTGTACAAGCTCAGAGTCCAGGCAGCGTCCGCACATGCCAACAGCAGGATGAACTAAGCCCCAGGGGAGTCCCTGAAGGGTAAGAGCACAGCACAGCATTTTAGGGCACCAAGTCACAGCTTCATGGGGCTGGAGGATCCACCACACTCAAGGTCATGGGCTTGCATGGATTCTGAGGTGTGGTTTCCGGCCCAGTGAGCTTCACCTCTTCCAGGGTCAGAGGTGAGCCAGGGCAGATTAAGGGCTCAGCTGACCGGGTGACACACACTCAGCCTGCAAGGAAACCTGAGGGAGGCTGCGGGGAGCCACAATGCCCAAGTAGTGGAGTCAGACTCCTCAAACCTAAGTTCCAAGGGTACCCCAGGTAGAGAAGCCCGTACCGTAAGTCATGAGTTCTCATGCTACACTGCAAATCAGTAAGGGACCCACAGGTAGAGACACCCGTATCCTAAGTCACGAGTTCTCATGCTACATTGCAAATCAGCAAGGGACCCACAGGCAGAGAAGCCCATACCCTAAGTCACGAGTTCTCATGCTACGTTGCAAATCAGCAAGGGAACCACAGGTAGAGAAGCCCGTACCCTAAGTCACGAGTTCTCATGCTACACTGCAAATCAGCAAGGGAAGCGAGACAGGCTGGGTGCAGGACACCAGAGGCAAACCAGGACAGTTCCCCAGGTGAACACCTTCCCTACCCCATTCCAACAGCATTCGGGCAGTGAAGTATGTCAGGGTGATGGGGAGAGGCTCTGGGGACAACTTGCTCCCTTGATGTTCAGAGGACGCTCTGTGACCCACAGGCATCTTGCAGCCAGTGTCCACACCAGCCACAGTAAGCTCCAAGATGAGCTTTTAGGGGACCCTAACCAGGAAAAGAAGCAGAGGCTGCCAGCCATGCTTTCAAAGGGCTGAAGCAAAATGAGCCAGGATAGAGCTCCTGAAAACAGGATAAAAGCCCTGCAGGACAGAGCACGTCATACGGTGCTGTCCCCTGCAGAGACTCGGAAGGCCAGTAAGGCTGCACACCTCCCCCAGAACCCAGAAGACAGGGGCAGGAAGGCAACCTGGTTGGTGACTCTGCAACACCCCCAGGACACGCTCTAAGGAGAGAATGGCCGCCCTGGTGCAGGAGATCACCCAGCTCCTGTCATGGCAGCCACGGCTCCTCCCCTCACCCACCCTCAACTGCTCCCAGCCCCGGGAAGGGACTGGGGGAAGGAACCCAGCTCTAAGGCTATTTTTAAATCTGTGAAAGTAGAACTCT